TTTCACTTGTTTTATAGGTGAAGTGAACTGCTGATCTGGAGTAATTTAATTGGTGTGTTGTCCATTCTTTAAAAGAGATGAAACTATCACTCCCCCCCCCCCCCCCCCCCCCGTAATTCGAACCATGAATCTGTCATGGTTTATACAGCTTGTGTAAGTCAGAGGCTACTTTTACTTTTTTACAATACTTTTTGAAATCAATATCTGAAGAGAGGGGTGATACATTTATTTGAAGCAATCATTGGGTCATTGTGAAGCTTTGATCAGTATGATTTCACATTTATAAAACCATGTTGGTTTGAATGAGGCACAAGAGGAGGGAGAGATTTCAACATTTGCCAAGTTTGCTGACACTTGTGGGTGCAAAACTTACCCACATGTTTTTTCAACATTTTATATACCTCTGCTTGTGTGAACACTCTGCACATTCACATGGTGGCATAAATGGTTTACAACCACATCAGCTCTATTTCCTTTCCATTAATAGCAAGATGCAGAGCCTTCAAAACATGCTGGTCATCCTTTTCAGTAAGTTTATTTATTTTTATGAAAATCATTTAATTGGTCTCGATATCTTTCACTCTGCAATACGCTATTATGCTGAATTTCATTAGCACAATTGGCTTCATGTGTCTTCATTTGTCTTGTAAATCAAACTTAAAACAATGAAAATGATCATCAATAAAGACATCACAACACTAAGTGTTAAATGCACATATCTGTGCACTTTGTGTAACTTGTTTGCAACATTGTTTTCCAGTCCATGTTGTCTTCTTTCTACAGTTCCTCTGAGCTGTGTGATGAGTGCAGCAAAAGAAATCCAAGTGTTTGGATATGAACAGAGCGAAGTTAAAGTTTCCTGTCCATATGAAGATGGATATGAGTCCTATAAGAAGTACTTGTGCAGGAATGAATGTGACTATGATCATGATGTTGTGATAACGACTACAGAAATGAAGAAGGATAGATACTTCGTCCATGATGACCAAAAGAAACACATCTTCACAGTGACCATCTCTAACCTTCATTATACAGATGCTGGGAAATACTGGTGTATGGTGGAGAAGTTTTGGTGGGATCTCTTGACTGCTGAAGTAAAAGTGGAGGTAATGCCAGGTATGAGAGTAAATAAACCTATCAATACATTTAAAGTTCTACTGACATTTATATCCAAAGTGACTTGCAATTGCTATACATTTCAGAGGTCGCACACCTCTTGAACATGAGGGTTTAAGTGCCTTGCTCAGGGACACAATGGTGGATGAATCACAGTGGGGGATTGAACCCGAGTCTCTCCCACCGAAGGCATGTGCGTTATCCATTGCGCCATCACCCTACTTAATGTACATGTCACTCAGCTGCCATTTACATTGAATGTTAACTGTTTTAAAGATGACATATAAACAATTTTTTCATGTAAAATTGTTATATATATATAAAAGTAACCCCACTAAGGTTGGATTTTGGTACCAAAACATAATCATGGCCCATAACATTACATTTGTGAACATGTTTAACTTTGTGTAAAACTCTTTGTCTATTCTGTTAGGCTGGACCTGAATATTTGTTTGTTGGGTAGGTGTTCGATTTTAAATTTTGGGATTTGAATTTGTGGGGTTTTTCCCGCATGCCTGACATCCCTCTCACTGCAGTGAACGTGATGCTCAAGTTCACATCAAAGGGAACACAAAATGCCAAAGACCTTAGCTGTGTGGGAGCACTTTAAATTTAGAGATCACAGTGTGGCAGTTATGGGGTTAATTTATTTTATATAGCTTAATTTCATTACAGATACAAAAGTCAAATAGCCTACATTTGAAAATGAATCACTAAGCTGTAGGCTACAACAGAAAAAAAAACTACATTATGGAAACGTTTAGTAGTCTATAATTAAAGTTAAAAGTGAATTTTGCAACTTGTTGTTTGTAACGCTACTGGAAATAGCGCTCATCCTGTCTGCTCTCCCTGAATCCCCCACCTTGGAAACTATTCCTGGATTTTGCTCCAGACCTGCTTGACTCAGCTTCCCACACTCTCAGCTACGGATTCCCTCCTGCTCTGCACATAAGCAACCAACCCGGTTCTGCATACATCTAGTCTTCCACTCTACCTTGCTCTTCCCCGGCTCAATACCTCAACTAACTTGTAACTTGTTGTTTTAATTAGCCTGCATAACTGCATATGCATATGCAAATCAGCTCAATTTATTTTTTTTCTAAAATAGATTGAGAAAAAATTGCAAAAATGTCTTAAATTAACCATGGTTTAATTTCTCAAAATATATGAAACATTTGAAGGAAATCACATCGCAAATGGGAGAAGTTTGCCCTTGGGGTTTCCGCCAGAAAGTGTTACTACTTGGTTAGGTTTAGGCACCAAAACTACTTGCTACTCGCTTTACACTACAATTCAACATTCACCTATTCACAAACTCATTCATACACTGATGGCAGAGGCTGCCATGCAAGGTGCCAACTTATCATAAACAGAAACCAATACATTTACACACCGTTGGCACAGCACATAGGTTTTCAGGATCTTACCTAAGGACACCCACTCTAACCCCCATACCACAGCTGATGTGTTGGCTCTATTGTCCTTCTGTTTCACAGAGTGGTGCTGTGTGAAGACAAAAAAACTGAGCGGCATTGTGGGACATCCAGTAATTATGCAGTGTCCCTATCCACCACAACACTGGGATAACAGGAAGTTCCTCTGTAAGGGAGACCACCGCAACAACTGTACAGATATGGGGACGAGTCACAGCAGGTTCACACTGCAAAATGATGTTTCTTCCAGCTCTTTCTTGGTCACAATCACAGAGCTGAAAGCAGGAGATGCTGCAATATACTGGTGTGGTTCAGACTCACAGTGGAGTCCTGGAAACTACACCAAGATTCAACTGTCAGTGGGTAAGATTATAAAAAGAGCAACCAACGGAGATTACAGCAATTTGATAGTAAAAGTGAATATAGCTTTATGTTTTACCCAGGTTCCAAGTTCAAGAACGCTATTTGTCCCCAAGGGGTGATTAGTTTTGCTTTAACTGTTTAATGTATTACTTTGTTTGAACTCTACTGTAAAACATATTGCTAGATGAAAAATCGAGGGCTCACCAGAGTTATAAAATTTTTTCCCGAAGACATCAATGTATGTACATCAGTGCACAATAATCCCTCCAACAGTTCTTGAGACATTTCACAAATTTTATATTCCAGGTAGGGCTAGAATAAAAGTCGGGGATTACCAAAATCGTTAGGATTCAACATCTAGAAACAATGAATGTCTGTATAAAATATTGTGTCAATTCATGCAGTAGATTTTGAGATAAGTGAAATTCTTCGATGTGATGGTGGTGCAACATAAAGTGTCAGAGGGTTAACAAAATAATTAGTATTCATCCTCTGGGGACTGCGAATTTCTGTGCCAAATTTCATGTCAAACCACCCACTATTTGTTGAGATATTTCAATGTGGACCAAGTTGGTGGACCAACCAACTGACCAACAAACATTGCTGTCCCCAGAGTCCCACTGCTAGTTAAAATAAGAGTACTTACCAAGGGTTCTAACAAACCTTCTCTCTGACAGTCTTCCCAAAGCAGACCAGCACTGTGAGATCTACCAGCATTGTGATCTCTACCAGCACTGTGGTGGATCCTGTTGGATCACAAACGACACATATCCCTGGCAAAGATATTAAAGGTACATTTGTGTTCACATGTGGAGAAACAACTTTTAAAACCATAGACATAACACATGGACATAGTGTCTTTGACGCCACTCATAGGTTTCTGATTAGCCTTTTAACATGGGGGTCTATGGGGAATAACTTCTTTTTGGAGATTTAACCTGGAGGTTGCCGCTTGGTTAAAACACACACTGAGCAATAATAAAAAGGGAACACTAAATGTTTTGAGGCCACAGCTCTGATATTCAGTGTGACTTATGCTGTTTTGTCTTTGAGATTGTGTTAAGAGATGAGTGTACTGCGTTGTGTGTTCTCAGGAAGTCAGTCTGTCCTTGCTCAAAATGAAGCATGCGAAAAGTGTTTGCTTGAGCTAGTTGAAGACATGAACAGAAACCAAACCAGGGCAGCAGAAGCAGAGGAAGTGGTCAGTGTTGCACAAAGAAAACTAAACCCCAAAGCCTTGTTAGTGGAAACACGAGACTGCAATGTTCAGTACAGTCCACATTACAAATGTGTGGGACTTTACTGATGATTTCACTATTAGTGGCGTTGAATATTGAAGTTTGTTTTAGGGTTGCACTACTGGACCAATCACAGTCATAAGCCGATGAATATGTTAACCATCTTCAGCTCAGACTGCCTATTAGACTATTTTGTGTACTATTTTGACATAATTGGCTTGGTGGGGATGGTTTATATTAGCTAAGGATCAAAAACTGATGGGGTAATTTTGCTTGAGGTAGTTGAAGACACGCTACGTGTCTTCAACTAGCTCAAGAAAACATTTTTTTACAAGAAACGTATTTTAAGAGATCTAATAATAACTTGATTGAAGAAAATTATATTGATCATATTAAACCATAATTTAGTGAAAAGGCTAATGTGTTAATTTACGCAATATACAAACAGCAGGATATAATAAGACATACTTAAATATTTTAATACATAATAAATTTTTACTTCCAAATTTGCTTTTATCAGTATATGTGGCAGTCATATTCTCAGTTGTAGGTATTTCTAGAAAAAAATGTTTACAATGAAGACACATGTCAGAGTTTTGTAGAGAGCGGAAGGCGTGACAACATTTTACAGAAGAGCCCACCTCGTAATTATCTATGGGAAAGGGAAAAACGCAGGAAGTGTATGTTCTTACTCTTCTTTTTTTTTCTTCATAGATGCAGCGCTCTTACACCCTGTGGTTTTTGTTGTGCTCGCTATGCTGCTCATACTGACATTTGCCCTGTTGGTAGTTTATAAATACAAAAGTTACAAAGAGCATGGTATGTTTTACTTTCAATTAAATGTATGAGCAATGCACAGATACACACAGACAAACACATATGCAATGTGTAACTATTCTTTATGCTGTGTGTTTCCAGGAGCTGGAGTTAACATGAACAGAAACCAAACCAGGGCAGCAGAAGTGGAGGAAGTGATCAGTGTTGCAGATGTAAGAAAATTAAACTCCAAATCCTTGCTAGTTGAAACCAGAGACTGAAATGTTCAGTACAGTATACTCAAAATTTTATTATTAGCGGTGCTGAATATGTAAAGTTTCTATTTAGACTGTCATTACTGGAAGTGAGTGAGATCACAATCAGAAGGGTTTATACCATACCACCTATGGATGATATCCAGATCCGAGGAGTGGCAGAACAGAAAGCCCGATCACCCATGGTGCTGAGCTCTCCTGGGGAGAAGGAGGCGGTTTGAGTTTGTTGAGCAGAGGGATATGCTCTCCTCCAGACAGGCGGTGAATGTTGAAGATGATGATGATGTTGGTAAAGCTGCAGAGGTGTCTGTGTCCAATTTCATGTATAGTTGTGTGTCATCAGCATAGCAGTGAAATGAAACTCCATAGCGGCTAATGACATAGCCAAGAGGAAGGATGTAAATCATGAAGAGGATGGGGACCCCGCAGGTGACCGCAGTGTGTTGCCGGGACCTTGCACTTCCAAGTGAAATGTACTCTGTTCTGTCAGTAAGGTACAATTTAAACCAGTTAAGAGCAGTGTCAGTGAGTTCAGTGGTTTTGTGTAGCCGGTTGAGAAGTATGTCATGATCCATAGTGTCAAAGGCAGCAGAGAGATCGAGGAGTATGAGGAAGTGATCCAGCATCAGCTGCCATTTCTAGGTCATTTGTCACTCTAACCAGGGCTGTTTCTGTGCTGTGGGCAGAGCGGAAACCAGACTGAAATTTTTCGAAAAGGTTGTTGTGTTTGAGATGGTCCTGGAGATGGACGGCAACAACTTTTTCCAGTACTTTTGAGAGGAATGGGAGATTGGAAATGGGCCTGTAATTTGCAAATACATCTGGATCAAGGGTGGGTTTTTTGAGAAGTGGTTTGATTATGGTCGTTTTAAGGGCAGATGGAACATTGCCAGTCTGGAGGGAGTGGTTTATTACAGGGGCAATCAGGGCTTAGGGCAGAGGTGTTTGCTTTCACTAGAGCTGTAGGAAAGGGGTCGAGGGCACAGTGGGTTTCATCCCTTTTGATTATTTTCTCAACCTTGCTGTGAGATTTCTGGAAAGCAGTGTAGGGGCTGGGAGATTGCAAGCTGTGAGTGTACAGTCGGGGCGGGTAGTGTTGAGGACCCAGGAAAGTAAGAGTGGACTGAGTCTATTTTTATTTCGTAAAAGGCCAGGAAATTTTTACAGTGCTCTTCTGTAATTTCTGTAAGTGAGGTGGTTTGTTGTTTGAGAAGATGTTTTATGGTGGAGAACAGCTGTTTGGACTGTTTCTGATGACGTTAGAGTAGAACTGTGACCGTGCGTCTATAAGTGACTTTGAGTAGTCCTTTTGTTTTTCCCAAAAAGCTAGCTGGTGCACAGTGAGACCTGTGGCTTTATATCTCCTCTCGATGGCAGGCCCAGCTGCCTTCATTTTCCGTAGCTCACCAGTGTACCAGGGGGCTGATCGGGAGAAAGTGGCTGTTCTTGTTTTGACCGGGGCGTAGGCATTCAAAAGAAGACAGCTCAGACAGGGTTATAGGGGACCAGCCCAGATCGCTTTGGTGGATAACAGCCAGACCACCACCGCGCTCTGTGCTGTGGGCTTTATAGGTAGCAGTAGCCAGGAGGACAGGTCTCATTTAGGACAGAAAAAAACATCTAGTTGATGGCAGGTTGCTGTAAGGCACATCAAATCCAAACACTTATCCATAATATGGTCATATCACGGTTGAAAACAAACTTTTGACCGCAACTTCTGTGAATGTAACGAAGGAGTCCAAGTTGTTGACTGATATGCACGATGGAGTGGTGTAGTTGTTGAATTGGGTGATGGAATAGTTCAACATCATGCCAGTCGTGGAGAGTGGTCTGTTAGCAATGCCCGTGATGAGAGCCATAGATCTGGTGCCCTGGTAGCGCTAGTCAGTACCCCCTCTGATGACACGGAAAGTATAATCCTTGCATTTGGGTGAAAGCGGGAATCTCCAAGTGATGGAAAACTGATAAGTAGACAGTGGCTAGAGTCAGCTGAATCCATACAGAACACATACAAATCCACAATATTTACTAGTGAGGAACAACAGTAGTATAACTTACTGGACGTAATAGTGGTCGATAAATGTACAGTAGGCTATACTGTTACAACAAATGTTGCACTGTAAAGGATTCCGGTTAGAGAAGCGGCGAACAAGCCATGCCAGCATCCTCTCCAACCAACTTAGAAAAATAGTAACTGTAATAGGTAATTTTTGGGTTCTCTTGCTAGTGTGGCAGAATGTAATTTTTTATTATTAATAATAAGTGTATTTCCAAAGATATGTTTAATAACATTAATTCTCATCTGCATAACACCACCATCAGATCTGTGTATGTTTTTTGATTATTTTTGTAGATTTATGAAAATGAAGATGTTGTAGCACGCTCAAAGCAGGAGACCTCCAAACCAAAGAGCACCTGTGACCACAATGATGATGCTGATGAAGACCAGTCTGTGTACCAAAACTTTGCTAAAACAGAGGATATCTACTGTAATAAAATGTACATTAAAGCCAATAGGAGATGAACTGCATACACATTTGTGATTAAACCTTGCATTTTTGGGTCACGTTTGTACCCAAATGCTCCTGTTTGTATTGTCTGTTTGTATTTTGTATTAACATACACCTACCACTGTGACCAACCTTTTCATTGTCTCAAAACATGTAAAGTGATTATTTGCACAGAATTTTACTATAAGATATAATTAGTACTTAAATTCATTGCTTTAACTTTGATTTTTTTTTTTTATATTCATTTGGATTGCTTATTGTTAATATAACAAACTGTTAACATAACTGCACTCCTTGTAAGAAACTGTAACCATTTCAGCTAGAAGTTATCTACGTGTGTGCATGTGTAAAAATATATACCTTTAGTAAAAGTGAATAAATAACCAAACCCAATCTTTACAGACAGTCTCTATAGAAACATCTGATCAGTATTGTTTTTTTGCACTATATATTAAAACAATTAATCATATTTTACTGTACATATTATTTTTTACCTCGATTGACCTTGAATAAAAGATTTTCATAGATATGCCTGATGCATTTAGCACATGGCCATCACAATCGGCCACCTTGTATTGATGGGGTCATCAAGCAATGAATGTTTGGAATTCAAGAGAGTAACCCGTGTTACAATGTTGCTATCAGTCAACTGACAATGTCATCAAATGGCTTGGAGAACATAACCATATATTAACCCAAAATAGAGTTAAAATAACTGTCCGCAAATGTGGACACCATGCATTAAAAAGGGTTAGACACTGGTGGTGACACACACACACACATACACACACACTGTCCTTTCTCTTTGTCTTAAATAGCTTAAAGCTTAAATATTGCAGAAGAATGGATATATTGCATATTGATGAAGCATGAAGATATTCGTGTTTGAACAGTCCATAAATATTGTTGAGTTCATATGTATTAATTGAAAAACTGTATTTTTTAATGATTTTAAAATTACTCTAATGATGAGTCAGAAGATGGAGGACACCAAATAAGGCACATTGGTAAGAACCAATGCAAATAATTTAGAGGATAATTAATTAGTATTAGTTAGGTTTCACTTGCCTTGAAACAGTTTGTTAATAAAACACCATTTGGCTCTTACAGAAAACAAATTTTGAAACTATTCAGTAGGATATTCTGCAGAGAGGAACAGAAAGAGAGAGAGAGATCAGGAGAGGAACAGAGAGAAAAAGAGAGGGATGGAAGGAGAGAGAGGGGAGGGAGGCAGCCTACACAATATACACACACAGAGGTACAGACAGAAAAGGTGATGTTGCTATAGACTAAATGAAAAACGGTATAGATATGTATAGTAATGTTAATGATAACAGTCGTAATGTTAATGATTATAATAATAATAGGACCAATAACAATAGTTGTTGTAGCAGAGGCTGTCGAGCAGGAACACGGGGGCAGCAGGTGACCCGCAGCCACAGATCCAGACTCCACAGCTCCAGAGACAGAAACACCTGCAGGAAGTGATAGTAGAGAGGAGAGGGACGAGAAAGCGCAAGACTACCGGAAAGGGGAGAAGTTGTGTTAATAACATGCAATAATGGGATGAGGTTGCATACAGAGGGAGAGGAAGTAGAGGAGAGAGGAGCTCAGTGCATCATAGGAAATCCCCGGCAGTCTAGGCCTATAGCAGCATAACTAAGGGATGGTTCAGGACTCACCTAAGCCAGCCCTGACTATAATCTTTATCAAAGAGGAAAGTCTTAAGCCTACTCTTAAATGTGGAGATGGTGTCTGCCTCCTGAACCCAAACTGGAACCTGGTTCCACAGGAGAGGAGCTTGATAGCTGAACGCTCTGGCTCCTAGTCTACTTTTGGAGACTCTAGGAACCACAAGTAACCCTGCATTCTGGGAGCGCAGTGCTCTGGTGGGGTAGTAAGGTACTATGAGCTCTTTAAGATAAGATGGTGCCTGACCATTAAGAGCTTTGTAGGTAAGAAGCTATTCTGGATTTTACAGGAAGCCAATGCAGAGAAGCTAAAACAGGAGAAATGTGATCTCTTTTCCTGGTTCCTGTCAGAACACGTGCTGCAGCATTCTGGATCAGCTGAAGAGTCTTAATGGACTTTTTTGAGCAGCCTGATAATAAGGAACTGCAGTAATCCAGTCTAGAAGTAACAAATGCATGGACTAGTTTTTCTGCATCATTTTTAGACAGGATGTTCCTGATTTTCGCAATATTACGTCGGTGAAAAAAGGCGGTCCTTGAAATTTGCTTAATGTGAGACTTAAACGACATGTCCTGATCAAAGATAACTCCAAGATTCCTCACAGTGGTGCTGGAGGCCAAGGCGATGCCATCAAGGGAAACTATATCTTTAGATAATGCGTCACGGAGGTGCTTAGGCCCCAGAGCAATAACTTCAGTTTTATCTGAGTTTAACATGAGAAATTTACAGGTCATCCAGGTTTTAACATCCTGAAGGCACATTTGAAGTTTAGCTAACTGATGAGTTTCATCTGGCTTGATCGATAGATATAACTGAGTATCATTTCCTGATAATATTGCCTAAAGGAAGCATATATAAAGTGAAGAGGATTGGTCCGAGAACAGATCATTGTGGAACTCCATGACTAACTTTGGCGTGCATGGAGGACTCATCGTTAACATGTACAAACTGAAATTGATCTGATAAATAGGACTTAAACCAGCTTAGAGCAGTTCCTTTAATGCCAATGAAATGTTCCAGTCTCTGCAATAGGATCTGATGGTCAATGGTATCAAATGCAGCACTAAGATTTAATAAAACCAGTACAGAGACAAGTCCTTTGTCTGATGCAATAAGGAGGTCATTAGTAATTTTCACCAGTGCTGTCTCTGTGCTATGATGAGCTCTAAATCCTGAATGAAAATCCTCAAACTATTGCTCTGTAGAAAGTCACACAGCTGTTTAGCAACTGCTTTCTCCAGGACCTTAGAGAGAAATGGAAGGTTAGATATAAGTCTATAGTTGGCTAAAACATTAATTACAGCTACTTTAAAGTACTGTGGTACATAGCCTGTTGATAGAGATAGATTGATCATATCTAGTAAAGAAGTGCTGACTAAGGGTAAAACATCTTTAAGCAGCCTAGTCGGGATGGGGTCTAAGAGGCAGGTTGATGGTTTAGATGAAGAAATTATTGAAGTTAGTTGGTAAAGATTGAGGGAAGCAAAACAGTCTAAACATGTATCTGGTTCTACAGCTGTTTCTAAGGTTCCTGAGTTAAGAGATAAGTCGGTGCCAGTTGAGGGCAGGTCTTGGTGAATTTTGTTTCTAATAGTTAGAAATTTATCATTAAAGAAGCTCATAAAGTCGTAACTACTGAGAGCTATGGGAATACTTGGCTCAATAGAGCTGTGACTCTCTGTCAGCCTGGCTACAGTGCTGAAAAGAAACCTGTGGCTGTTCCTATTTTCCTCTATTAATGATGAGTAGTACGCTGCTCTGGCATTACGGAGGGCCTTCCTATAAGTTTTAAGACTATCTTGCCAAATTAAACGAGAATTTTCCAGTTTGGTGGAACGCCAATTCCTAACCGTCTTTGTTTTATTATTTTCTTTTTTAGAGGGGCTACAGAGTCGATTGTCATTCGCAACGAGCCTGCAGCACTATCAACAAGATGATTGATTTGGGAGGGACTGAAATTAGCATAGGAGTCCTCCGTTACTTTGTGACTTGATAATGAATTTAGAGCTGATGGAATCGCATCCTTAAATTTAGCTACAACAGTATCAGACAGACATCTTTGGATTCTGTGGGAACACTATTCAATGTTCAATTTCAATACCATATACCAAAACAAGGTTGAGGGTGTGGTTAAAACAGTGAGTCAGTTCATGAACACTCTGAGAGAAGCCAATTGAATCAAACAGAGAGATAAACGCAGTACTGAAGCTGTCATTCTCAACGTCCACATGAATATTAAAATCCCCTACAATAATAACTTTGTCCGTTTTAAGGACTAAAGTTGACAAAAACTCTGCAAATTCAGATAAGAATTCAGAGTACGGACCAGGTGCTCGGTACATTATAACAAAAAGAATTGGTTGCAGTGATTTCCAACTTGGGTGCGAAAGACTAAGAAAAAGGCTTTCAAATGAGTTATAATTTAGTTTAGGTTTAGAGCTGATTAGTAGGCTAGAGTCGAAGAAAGCTGCAACTCCACCTCCTCGGCCTATGCCTCGAGGAAAGTGAGTATTAATATGACTGGGAGGGGTGGATTCATTTAGGCTAACATATTCTCCATCACCCAGCTAGGTTTCAGTAAGACAAAATAAATCAATATCGTAATCTGATATTAGTTCCATTTACTAGTACACCTTTAGAAGAGAGAGATCTGATGAGTCCACATTTAATTTTCCTATTAGTTTGCACTATTGCACTTGTGGTTTTAATTTTTATGAGGTTTTTATGCACAGCTCCTCTTCTGTTTACCTTTGATTTAAATAATTTCGATGGTCAGGGGGCAGACACCGTCACTATAGATAAGTTGAGTGTGGAACGGTGGATACTTCTCACCCTCAACAACCACCATTTTAGCTACGTAGCGGAAGTGGCGGGACCAACAGCACGGGAGAAGTGGGAAGCAGCAGAGGTAGACGGCAACAACAGAACGTCTTTTACAAGTTTCGTACACTATTTCATCACTAAATCTACTTCTGAGAAGTTTTGAGGCAAGAACTGTGCCATCAACTGTGTAGATGTCGAATATTGACAGTTCTATGAAGCGGATCATAAATGTGCTTGAATGTGAGTTGAGGAGCTCCAGAAGTAGCAGCCGGGGGAAGCTCGTGCCAACCTGTGGAAAGGAGCTAGTGCAGCCAGCCAGCTGTTCGCTCACAGAGCCCTCTGGTGCCACGGTCATTCAAACTTGTAAAAATGGCGGCTGAAGAAGCTATACAAGGGTTTTATAAATATTATTACCACTTAACCATTTTCAGTTATAAGACCTTAGTGTATGTTGTAATTTAGCAGTTAATTTAGCAGTATGTAATGATTTTGTACCGGGAATGAAAAAAAAAGGAGCCGGGAGGAAGCCGTGGAAGAGGTCCGATGGGAGAGGGCAGGGTGGCAAGCCCAGCTGGCGGAATGGAGGACAGAGGTGAGTGAACCTGGAGGAGAGACAGACAGACAGACAGGGTTAGACGCAGGGAAAACAGTGCACAAGGAAACAGTGATGACGCAGATTACTCGGGGGGCTAGAACGAAGAGGGATGAGGTAGCGCCAGGTTAGGAGCAACAACAATCAAGCGGAGATGGTGTGGAGAACCGGGGTAGATATGCAGGCAGGGATGAGGTTGATTGCTGGCAGGTG